GCAGCAGTAGGTCAGAACATAGTGGATGGCATTCACTACAGGTGTTGTTATAACAGATATTGGAAACCACCTTAAGTAAGGTACACCAATTATATAGTGTTTTAGTTAGCTTTTTCTTCGCCAAGACCAAAAAACCTGTCAAGAACAATTTTAGAGGAAGAAAAGTTTATTCTGTGCTCATGGTTTCAGAGGTCTCAGTCTGTAGACAGGGAACTCTGTTGCTCTGTGCTGGAGGTGAGACAGAACATCATGGTGGAGGGCGTGATAGAGGAAAGTAGCTCAGAACATGACAATCAGAAAGCAGAGAAAGACTAAGCTCAGCTCACTAGAGGCAGAATATCTAACCCAAAGGCATGTCCCCAGTGACTCGGCTCCTTTAGCCACACCCTACCAGTCTATAGTTTTCACCCAGGTAATCCAGTCAAGTGGATTAATGCACTGATTAGGTTAAGGCTCTAATAAACTGATCATTTTACCTCTAAACTTTCTTGCATTGTCTCTCACATGAGCTTTTGGGGGACACCTCATCTCTAAATTATAACAATAAGGAATAAAATATGCAACTACTAAACGTGATAATTAGAGAAACTGGTGCCCTTGATATATTTAAAGTTTAAAAAGCACATTGTAGAATAATGTGTATTGTATGATACTGTTTCTGTGCAAAAGCAATCCCTATATCTATGGGTGTGTGTATGAATCTGGATAAAAGGCCTTTCTCCTGGAGAGAATATTCTCTTGAATGATGTGCTTGTCAATCTCAGGGAGAGGGGATTTGGAATGGGGGCAAATCATTATATATTTGGAGGAAAAAAGTATAGACTTCTGACATATCATACAAATCTATACTTTGTCTATTTCATTAAACTGTCAATGATTAGTTAATAAATCTTCCTTGATTAAAAGAAACTCTTGTATTTGAGTTTTCTTACTGGCCTTCTGTTCTCCTCATTGGGTCAACAGTTCCAGAGGTTTGTTCTTCCTGTGCCTGAAATGAAGATGCCAAAATTTCTCCCAAGGAGGGCCCATTATCAGCCATCTGCATGGAGGACAAAATGGGGTGACGAGGATGTCATGAATGTGCAGCTTTCACCGGTTCTAACTATTGGTGAGAGGTTTGCTGCAGATTCTCTGCAGATTCTGAGCAAGGGAGATGTGCTAGTGAGGCCCCCGCTTGCACTTAGCCCAGTGGCCGTTTCTTAGGGAATATTGATCAAAAGTGCTCACCTCTCTCATCCGAGGAGCATAATGCAGTCTGTGAGTATTCATGGAAAAAAGCTTTTCTTGGCTGGGCTATTTTCTGAAGTCAAAAAGATCCTTTCAGGATCTATAATAGCAAGCCCTTCCCACTTCACACCCTCAGTGAAAAGCACACTCCAATTTTCAGACCCCTGGAACCCCACGCCAAGGAGAAAGCTGAGGAGTTGGACCTATTCATTTAAAATATTCTATGTCAGACTCAGCAAGCATTTTTGGAAAGGGGTATCACATAAATGTAAGGCTAAAAATTACACTTGGATACATAGGGCGGTGTGCTCTTGTTCTTGAGAGGATTTATACATTTATTCTTTCTTAAAATAATGCTTTAAATAGAGTCTCCAATCACATACATAATGTAGTCTGATGTCTAAGGCAGCATTTCTTGATGTGAATATAAAAAAGTCTATCTGATCAGTGATTTTCATGTCTGAAATGGTGCAGAAGGGAAGACTCTAACTTGGACTTCCCAGTTTCTCTGACTTTGATTCTATAAAAGGCAGAATTTTCCCAGACATCTGATTTTTGTTTCTGCTTACAGTGCTAAGGATCAACCCAGGGCTTTGCACATGCTGGACAAGTTCTAAGACAAATATTTCTTAATGTGATAGGCAACTCAGGTTAGGAGACACTTAGGTATTAAAAATGTCTTTAATTTAAAATTCTAAAAATAACAATAACAAAGAAGCAATCTCCAAGCAAATTCTTCTTTTCCTCTTCAGAAGGATTTCAGAGAGTTCTTCTGGTTTTGATGCCACTGTTTCACATTTGAGAGCAACTTTGGGGCAGAGAGAACATGCCTAAGGTTTGAAAGGCCCCTGCCTCCTGGGCAGTCAGCTGGTCTCCTCATGCTCTCTGAGGATGAGGGTGGACCATGAAGACATTGGTTTTGGAAGCAAGTGTTTTTGTATTCACTCAAAGATGCTTCTCGTGGTATTTAAGAGAACCAATCTGTCTTTACCTTCTTTCTCTGAAACTCCAGACCCATAAAATTTTTTTTCAAGAGGCAATATACAATTTTAATCAAGCTGTCTGTAATGAGTGCTCAAAAAGCATGTGACTCTCTGAATGCAGAGAGTGAGAATGACCTTCCAGAATGTGGCTGACCTGCCCAGGCCTCACACCAGGAGGTGTGGGAAGTCTGCCTATGTGGCAGGTTCTTCGCTTCAAAAGTATTTTTCAGTAAAGATAACAGCAATTTTTTTTTTTTTGGAAAATGTTCTATCTAGTGGTTTCTTGGAGTCCCAGAGTGAGATTAATTCCAAGTGTTTTCATTTTGGACTAGAAGGAGAGTGGGTGACAGTCTCCTGGTAGAGCCAGTTCCTTGCACTGGTGATCAACCTAGTCTGTTTTGTGCTTGGTCCATATAACAGTAGGGTCAAAGTGGCCTTGGATTTGACTATAGAGATACCTTCACAGTGGCCAAAAGGTACATGGAAATTACATTTTTTTTCTGTTTTCTTTATTGGTACTTGGGATGGAATTCAGGGGTGCTCTACCACTGAGCCATATCTCCAGCCCTTTTTCTAATTTTGAGATAGTCTCATTAAGTTATTGAAACTGGCCTTGAATTTGTGATCCTCCTGCTTTAGCCTCCTGAGCCACCAGGATTCCAGGTGTGCCATCGTGCCTGGCAGAAATTACATTTTCAACAAATATTCCATACACTGGTTAAGAACTCTGTTTAAGCTGCTAAATGAGGGTGTCATCATGAAGCAGAAACCAGGAGACTCAGCTCCTGTCTCAAGTCCCACTTTTTTAGCTGTGTGAAACCCAGTGAGCCAATATCTTCAGGCCTCAGTTCTTATAGCTATGGAAGGAAGTGGGTGAGTTATGGAGGATGCCCTTTCCAGCTGTAAACCTGTGCCTTGAGTAAATTAAATACAAAGGGATGAAGTTTACTTTATGTTTCATTTCTACAACTTTAATTTTTTGGTTTAAAAAATGAAATGCAATTAAAACCATGTCCATTTATAGAAGAGAAAGTAAATGATAATAGTGCTCCTTGACATGAATGGTTTAATAAATCAAAGTGGCCTCAATTTAGTTTATACACCTATATAACATCATAACACTAGCACAAGTGTGTATAGAAGTAAACAAATATAAATGTCTGCATCTTTTTGATGGGAGATTTTTCTTCGAGCAATACAAAATAACTTCAAAATTTTTCCTGGGATCCCTAGAAAAATTATATTAAGACCAGGATATACCTTAGGAATATTCTTTCTTTAAATTCTGGAACCTGACAAAAATCAAGTAAAATTTATGTCAGCAATGCTTGAAGCAATGGTCCCTTTTGAGACCACTGAAAGTGGGATTTGCTTTGGAATTTTGATGATGGTGTTAAATGATATAGCCTGAGACTTGGCAAGTTTCTTTTTTCTTTTTTGGTACTTGGGATTTAACCCAGGGTGCTTAACCACTGAACAACATCCCCAGCCCTTGACAAGTGTTTTTAGGATGGCCTGGTCACTTACAGGAAGCATGATGGACTTTAATGTTCCCTGCCCCATTTTTTCACTATAAATAATAAAGTAACCTTTTGAATGAGACTTTCATAAAATATCCTTTGAATTTCAAATGGCCATTTTTAGATCTGAAAAGTATGCCAAAATTATCCTAGGATGAAACTTCCAGGGAATCCTGGACAATCATATTTTAAACTGAATTGTGAGCGAGGAGCAGAAACATAGCTCCATGAAGTGATTATAGAGCTACAGGGGTACTTGCTTCCCAGAACACCAATCAATGGAACTGACTCAAGCTCCTGAACTCAACTGCATCTGCAGCCAGCATCCTCTGAGAAGCTTTAAGAAACATAGAAGCCGAGGTTCCACCACAGACATTGAAGGTAAGAATCTAGGTGGGGAATGACGAAGCAGGAATCTGAATCTTAGGAAGCTTCCTAAATGAAGCTAATTCATGAGGCTGGGAACCACTATTTTTAGGACAGAGCACTCTAAAGCTTCATATCAAGCTTCATTCTATGAGGAACCAAGGATTAAAAGCAGGACATATCGGTAAGCAAGCTCTTGGTATCAGACAAGAGCTAAAAGGAAGCCAAATTGATTCAGAACCCTCTTAACTCCTGGGAACTTACCTGGATTACCCTTTTAAAGATCACTGACATGTTTCGCAAATAATAAGTCCTCAATAAGGATTTGAAAAATGGACAAGTAAAATGAGGGTATCTTACAAACTTGGTTGTCTTAACATCCTGAGAGTTCACTGCTTTTCAGAGCCCAGAGTGGTCGCAGATGTAGGCAAGGAGGCAGTTGGAGTCCTTAGGCAGGGCTATCAACCTTTGCCACACCAGCAGAAAGCCATATTACATTTTGTCTATTACTTACAAAGACAACCCACCTGGTAGGACCAGAAGGGTGGGGCTAGTACAAGTTCTGCTCTAGAGTCAGCAAGGATGAAGCTTACTGTGGGCCTTGATACCAATTGCAACAACAGGCAATACTGACCCAGTCATTTCACCACAAAGAGAGGGACAGGCTGTATAGATGGGAATGATACTTGGACATAGATCCTCTGGTGACTGGATCTTAGCATTCTACACTATAAACCACAAGGTCAGTTTTACTACACATGAATAAACTTGCCTGGGCTGGTTTAAAAAAATGTTTTTGAACAACCTTGTCCAATAAAAATGTAAACCACCTTTTTTATTAGATGCCAGGATAAACTTTATTTTCCTACAAACCATAGAATGACCCAAACATATAGCACCTCAGTGCTGTTTCTCCACTTTATTAAATCATCACAGTAAATCAGAATTCAAGGGGAAGAGGGTAGAGAGTCAAGAGACGTCATCAGTGGAGCTGTGTGCTTTCCTGGGCATGACTGCCTCTGTAAAGTGGGTCCTGGCGTGTGCATACACGCATGTGCACGTGTACACACACACACACACACACACACACCTGGGAAAGTGGACTAGATGTGAAGGTTTCTATCACCTAAGAATGAACCTAGATGTGCAGCATCAGGAAAATTAAATAAAAAGAGACAGCAAAATAAGGATCAAATGACAGCTATAACTTAATTTACCATATTTATCAAATTTTCCCCCTATTTACACATTGTAGACCTAAAAATATAAGAAAACATTCACTTAATGTGTATGTCATACAGAGATATTGAGTGCAACTACAACGATGGTTGTTTCTCGTTGAATTTCCCTTCAGATTGGACATCTGCCTTCTGTAGATAAAAACTAACACAGCTATATGTAAGACATCACAGTAAATTTTAAAGGATTCACCAAATCTCCACTTGATGCAAGGATAACAGGTCAGTTGCACCCAGGTGGTGACACCTGAGAAAGCTCAGGAAGACTGGATTTGCATGGCTCTCTGAATCTTCCATGATCTCTTGTTTGTAAGGCTAAGGGTCCTGATTAATCAACCCACATCACAAAGTCAAGGGTCCCCTCCACCCCATGGCTCTTAAAAGCTGCAAGTGTGGCAGCTGAAGACACCGTGACAGTCACTTACCCGGGCTAAGTTTCTTTCCTTGTGTCTGCTCAAGGATTAACTACTTTTTAAAAGTTATTTTGTGGAACTACTATTTTTAAAGTATAAAATCGTGATCAATGATATGATAAAAATCAGTTAACTCTAAGTGGAAATCCGGAAATCGTCATGCAGAGAAATGAGGGAATTGCCCAGGCCCAGTGTGAGGCCAGCAAATCTTATCACATTCTGGGCCAATTAGGAACACTTGTGTTTACAGATGGCTGAACTACTAATACTAATGTGATGAGTCAGCGCTGTGACTCAGGAGGGTCTCTACTGGATGAGTGACCCTCAGCAATTTTGCTAAGAGGCATTTATTACAAAAACACAATATTTACTTTTCTAACTGAAAAAAAAATTTCCTCATTTCAATTTTCCACCCCAAATAACAAAAACGACCAAGTTCATGTGATTGCAAGCAAACATGGTTGCCAGAGTCCCTGCTTCCCCACTCCATCTCCAAACCAAAGCTGTTACTGAGAACAGTGGACTAAAAGAAAAAAAAAAAAAAACCTCTAGTCACAAAACTGCTGGCTGTCATCTGGGGTCACAGGGTTGTTAAAATCATTAGGGATTACATGAAGGTTGAGTTATTTGCTACCTACAATTGAATTTCCCACTCCAAGGTCAGAAGCTCTGGTTCATGGAGGCAAAATGAATCATGGAGCAGAGGTCCAGGGGAGTTAAATATGACTTCCAGGATGTTCCCTAGTGGCAGATGCTTGCCTAGCATGCACAAGGTCCCTAGTTCTGTTCCCAACACCATTAAAAAAAAAAAAAAAAAAAAAAAAAAGACTTCCAAATTCTTCTACTTCAGCCAGGAATTCTGCAACAGAAATTTCTAGAGCCTGCAGATAAAACATTCTGTGGGAAGTTATTTGCTGCCAGAGTGCTATGGGGGACTCAGGACCCCAGGAACAGGTGATGTGCTTCTCTATAGGAAAAAAGTCTGGGTACTTTGTAAACATGAAACCAAGTGTATCAATCACAGTCAAAAGCCTGAGCAACACTGGCCAAACTCTGCTGACCAGGAAGCCCAAATCACTTAAAGAAAAGGAAAGGATGGGAGGGGGAGTGGGTGAGAATAAGAAGCAAGGCATTTGCTAGCAGGATAGGAAACACCATGATTTCTAGTCACCCTTTCTTTTGTCACTAATCCCCAAAGAAGTGAATGCACTGGGTTATTAGAAAATAGCCCCAAAGTGCTGGAGATGTAGTTCAGTGGTAGAGCTCTTATCTAGGAGGTTCAAGGCATTGGGGTTTAGTCCCCAGCACTGCTCACGCCCCAAAAGAAAACAACCCAAAGTGATTAAAGCTTACTTCTACTTAGGAATGTCCCCCATTCTCTTACATTCAAACAGCTCTGTCCAATGGTCCTGGGACTCAATCTCTGCCTGAATCCTACATAAAGTAGACAGACTCTTCCTAACATTGGAAGTTCCACTTTTCTGATGGGAATGATGTTCTTAGTCTTTCTCACTTGTCCCAAGAGTGAGTCTGACACCTGGGTCTGCCCCTATTAGGTATCAGCCAAATCAACTCAATGGCTCATGAAAAAATTGGTTCCTCAGGGAAAGTGTAACATACGAGTGTGTGTGAAGAGCAGAAGGCAGCATGCAGGAAGGTGGGAAGGTGTGTACACACCTTTTCATATCCAGGGCCAATCATGGCTGCATATTGCCTACTGCTTTCCCACTCTAAACCAAGGGGCATTGTGCACTATGAAATGGTCTCACAAGAGCAAGAACTGTGCAGTGTGTGATGGCCTCTGATGAGTTTCTTAGATTTCTCTTGGAGGTAGAGGGGCAAACTTCTAGCTCTGAGACTGCTCCCAGGGGCGGGACACAGGAAGAAGGCTGTCTTCCCTATGGATTGATTTCCCTGTTGCTACATGGCAGGGTTCACCCAGAGATGCCCAGCAAGGGAGCAGAGCAAGCCCAGACAGAAGACAGGATTTTTTATTTTCTTCCTTTCCTTCTCTCCTTCCTTCTTTTCTTTCTCTTCCCTTTATTATCTTTTTTAACAGGTCGAAATGGGTAAAAAACTATGGATCAAATAAATCTCTTGCTTGCAATCTGCATGACAAGAAGCATTTCCAAGGCCTGTCTTGGCCCTCTTTGAGTAATAGCCAGGAGGGAAAATGAAGGTGAAGCTTTGGAGGCATCTGGACTTTCTAGAGTGTCCATCCACCTCACTGTGGCACCAGACACTGGCATTTGCCTTTTGTAAGGATGTGGGACTAACCCTGGGGTTTCTTCTTGTCTTACAAGATAGGACGTCTGTCTCACAGGATAGGACCTTGTATTTCTAGAGACTTCTGAGTGTTCTGGGATAGGATCAGAATTATGACTTGGGAGTCCTCTGAGTGGTCAGAAAAATCACCTCAGTGTGTGGACCTTGGGTATAAGATGGCAAAAGACTTCACAACTGAGAGAAAACTCCTGGGCTAAAGACCCCTGGGAAAGCCAATTTCAATGATGATGAAATTTTTGAGTAAACCATAAATCATAACATAAGGTGAACTAACAAAATTGATACAGAGAAAATTCCACAATTCCACGATTGTTTTGCTGCCCTCTGGGAATCCTGCTTGGGTTTATAAATGAGGGTAACCAGCTTGGGGTTCAGAAGCCAACTTCCCTTTGCCCCCTCCCTGAAAGCGAGCAGACACCAGAGTAAATCAGAGACAGGAGGTTTGTTTCTGGTTGTTGGTGACTTTTTCTTTTTTGGAAGCTGGAGGTTTGAGAAGTTTTAGGATGAGATGACATAGCCCCACTTGAAAGATCCACATGAAATGGTTCAGTGGGATCCACCTTTGACTTCAAAGATCCAGTGATACGAAAGCTTGCTGAGAGCGCTGGCACAGTCATGGAGTTTCCTGAAGTCTCTGGGTTTGGAGCCAAGGGAAAAGGGCAGGGGAGTCTGGTCCGTCTCCTCCACACCAAGGGACTCTTTGAGGTCAGCACTCAGGATGGAGGCCAAGGCCCCTGCAAAGGAAGCAGAGAATGGTCAAGTCATGGAGTTGACCCAAGGGCCACAGATTTAAGAGGGCATTGGTGGCACTCAAAAGAAAGGAAATTTGGTCTCAGGAAGAGGGTTGGATGTCCTCCCCAACCTGGTGGTGTGCTTGCAAAGATGTTTGTTGAACAAATCAACAAATGAATGTCTTTCTTCCTAGTCTTTGCCTGGCGTTTTCTACAGCATGAAAGAAGCTATGAATCTTTTTGAAAATAACTCACAGCCTTTCTGGCCAACCCAGAAATAAAAAATGAGAGAAATGGCATCTAATTATAGAAAAAGAGAGAAAGAGCCATGAAGAACATTACCCCCAGCCATTGAGAAAAACCAGTGAAACTTTGTGGAGTGCCTTGTGGATCCCATTGATGCTGTTGGAATCTCTTACATATTAATATTTTACACAATGGGTTACTACCCAATTATTCCCCCAAAGGGTATAAGTCTAGAGGTCAGGACTAAATTGTTTATCTGAATGAGCCCAGATGAGCATACAGCTATTTAGCACTGGAGGGAAAAAGGGATAAAATTAAAATTTGTGAATGCATCCCTCCACTTCCCTGGGGTCGCTCTAGGTGAACTCAGAGGAATTCAAGAATGCTTGCTGCAATACCCAGCCACTGTTGCCAGTGGAGTTTGGTCTCCCCTAGGACTGTTCTGCGAATGAGAAGATCATTTCATCACCCTCACCCTTGTAATGTATTTTTAAACCCTGTTGTACTACACCCCAAGTTTCCCTGAGTGACCTCTGGAACAAGCTTCAAAAAGCAGGGCTTCTTACATCCTCCCTACATGCTTCACTTCCTCTGGCCTTTGAAATTATTATTATTATTATTGGCATTTGAAATTCATTTAAGTAGTTTATTTTATTCACAGACAGGATCTTTTTTCATCTTCTGACCTTGCCTTATCGTTTCTAGGGAAGAGCTTCTTGAATCAATACTTATAAACATGCTCAGACCTGTGGAAGCAATCTGCCCCCAAGCATTCTGAAATTCTGCACTTTCAGACTCTCCAATGGCAGGGTGCTTTACTGTCACCTTCCTTTTAAGCCTAGTGAGGTCAGGCACACTCCTGCCTGGGTCTCCTGCCTACTATTTTCTTCTTTAAAAATAGGCTGGGCTGGGGCTGGAGCTGGGAGTACAGTCTAGTAGTAGAGCACTTGCCTAGCATGCATGAGGTCCTGGGTCCATCTCCAGCACTGCTAAAACAACGCAAAATAGGTTGCTTTGGACAAAATCAGCACAGCTAGACATTCATCCATGATAGAGACAGGATTGACAAAGGCATCTCTCTACCTCTTGTTGCTGGTGGTGGGCAGGAGCACTTAATTCAGGGGTGAGGGGGAAGCAGAGGGAAACAAACCTGATTTAATCCCAGATAATCTACCATCTTGAAATACTACCCCACCTACTACTGTATTCAGTTGGGATAAGGAAGCAAAAGGCAAAATTAAAATGAAAAACCAATCAAATAAATGAAAGATACAAAGTGATGTTCAAAGACATTAAGCAAAGGAGTGCATCTTGGCTAATTCTGGATTAGAAGGCAAACATTGTAGCCCCTCCTTCCCACTCCCCCATCCAGGGAAAAGGAGAAGAGTAAGAAGGGTGTCCCTGGAATTCCTGCTGCTATGAAGATGAACAGAGTAACCAACATACCAATCATGTGTCCCACTGAGTGAGCCTGAGTGAGCAGCATGAGGCTCCGCAGCAAGGACCCCATGCATCTAACAGCAGAGACCCTATCATCCAGGGGGGAGGGCAAAGCCACATCTGGAGTTGGGCCAGACCCAGTGCCACTGTGCCCCATGCATTCTTCCAGTCCTCAACTTTTTGATGGTGCATCCTCAGTCTGCCATGGCACCTATGTGCCAGCTGCACTCCCTGATGGATGGGGAGGTGGCAGCTGCAGATAAGCAGGTAGGCCACAAAAGAGAAGGCTTCTTTCCTGATAGGATAATTCTACTTGCAAGGTGCTGGCAGAGGCTGCCCTGACTTGGCCTCTTCCTGGTGATGGAGGCTGGAGGCCTATACAAAGACCATTCAAACCCCACTTACCTCTATTGTGGCAGATGTGGAAGGACACCCAAGGAAATGAAGGGCCTCAAGAGTAGAAACCTTTGCACCAAATCCCCCTGTTGGGAGGAGATTGTGTGACCTCCTATGTCCCCTCCCTACTTAACACCTGGGCTCTGAGGCTACTAATGCTTCTGGGAGCTGACATAAGTGAGCCTGATTTGGGACAATATTGGAACTAGGCCAAACCCATGACTGAGAAGAAGAGAAAAGGCAGCTGGGCTGGAGGTCAGCTCTCTGTGGTGCTGCTGTACATCTGGCCTGCAGGTATAAAGGCTCTGCCTAGTAGATGGGATTTGAATTTTGGATAAACCAAAGAATCCAGGCTCTAACTTGCACTTCCATAGGTATTGAGACAAACTGGCTGGCTTCTGTGCCATGCATTCCACATGGGTGATGTTGCTAATCAAGGGAAGTTCACTCATTTGCTTTCTCCTTTGAGTGGCATTGCCATGGTCACTATCAGCTCCTCTCCTGCCTGTGAGCCATTACAGCCCAGGCCACACCACAGAGGGTTTTTAGCTGGCTCTGCCAAGCAGCTTCTGTTCAGTCCATTAGAATGTCCTAAGAAGGGCCTGGACCCCAGACCCAGAACAGAAAGGCTGAGAGGTTACACCTGCTTCAGCAGACTTGCCCTCTAGATCCTAGACTGTGGATGGGGTTCTCTACCCTCTGTGCTCCAACAGCTTTTGTCTGCTTCACTTCCCACAGCTGTTCCATTCAGCAGCCTCTTCCACAACCAGCCCTCCCTGCCTGGAGGCCTCCATTAAGGCAAGTAGTCAAAGGCCACCCAGCACGAGCCACATCTTATCTGCCCATCTCAAGATCCTGCTCTTCTAGGATCAGGCAACAAAAAAGGGGAAGGCCTCTGCACCCATTGGTTTCCTGCAGCCCCCCCCCAAAAGGGTGGGTGACAAAGACATTTTCCAGGATGGCAGGTGTTGGTGTCAGATTCCACCCAGAGTGCACAGGCAGAAGAAAGGCAGGCAAGGCTGGGCTTCCCCGGGCAGCACAAACATGCAGGGGCAGGAGAGCAGGCAGGGTCCCTTGGGAGGATGGCAGGAGGCACCAAAACCAAGGCTCAGGAAAGCAAGTGGGCATGCAGCAGTGTTAGGGATGGAGGGGAGCATGTTAATAAATTTACACCTCCCCAAAAGCAGGGTAAATGGGAAAACACACTGAAGTGTCAGTCTTACCTTGCTCAAATATTGTAATGAGACCTTTATATATTTTAATCTGAAGGGAAAGAGCATAAAGTCAAATGAATACAAGCATGGCACCCCCATGGTTTCAACTTGATAATTAACACAGTGCTAATAATACACATATTCCCGAGCTGCCTGAGTATTCTAGAAGACTTGCAGATCATTAAGACCTGAAAATTCTACTTGATGGGACAATATACTAGCTGTTATTGCACTTACAAGTGGGAAATGAAAGAGACATTAGAACTCCTACAATGTATGAAGCAGACCTTGGTAGGAGCTCTTTCCTTTTCCTGATGCACAACCTTTCCTGACTGATTGGGTTTGAAAAACGATCAAGTTTTTAAGACTAGCATTGAATTCAATGGATGCCCTGAAAAAAAAAAATTGAAATCCCCCAGGTGTGCAAGTTTCCATGACTCCAAGTTTCATTTTACAGGTTTCTGAGCTGTACAGTGTATTAACTCAGTCCTGATGTCACCTGTAAAGTGACAGTCCCCAGGGAGTAAACATGCAGCATGCTGTGCAGAGGAAGGCTCTGGAAGGAGACCCTGCAATAGTGAAACTGGACCAAAGGTCACTCTCACCCAAAGAGAAGCATGTTCTCAGCAGCCATGATGAAAGGAGGGAGGATCTTAGCCTTTCCATACCTGTGACACGTTCCCCATCACCCACTCATTCTATACCAGCCCAATTCCAATGTGGGCTTTCCCTAGCAAATACACCCTCTTTCTGCATCAGACAGTAACTTCTCACCCCAATCCCTCACAAGCCTCCTGAATTTGGTGTCACTAGACCACCATGGAATCTGGACAAAGGACATTTATCAGTAACATGGACCACTGTCTGCATGGCCACAGTTGAAAAACAGGGATTTTTTTTTGCTGGCCCCATCTGCAAAGGTTAGCACACTGACTAGGGCCAGTTCTAAGGGAGTTCAGAGCAACATTGGAAGAAGGATCACTGACACTATCTTAGCTGAGTCTTTCTAAAGAAAATGTGCATGTCAACAAAGACACATTTTCCAATCTATTTATGAATATTCACAGTCACCCCCAAAAAGTCAATTATATATGATTATCAATCTTTAGATTAATGTCTGATCCTGAATGACCTAGTAGCATTTTCTGTACTACCCATTTGATTCCGATCACCCTTAATGCTGCTCTTTCTTGACATGTGGACATGAGACGTTCTGGGCTTGTGTTGATTGTTCATAACAGACTACTATCCTCTGGATAATGTAATTATCTAGATTTCCCATTTCCTCCAGTTTACTGTGCGTGGACTCCCATTTTCTCTCACAGGGAATGGCAGAGCACAGAGCGTCTCTGCACGGCTCTTCCTTGAGTTGAGGAGGCTCAGCTTTTCAGAGCACCATGCTACTGACTCTCTCCCATGCGAGCAAAGGCTGTCTTTATGAAGGGGCTCCTTGATCTAACTCCCCTGCAGCCCCCTTGGCCCTGGTTATGCCATGCATATGGATCCCTGATTGGTGGAAACCAAGAAAGCAGATGGCATGCTAACAATGGAGGACTTGTTTGTAATTGCTGATGAGGACTGGTTTGCTCCTCTCCTGAGTGTCCCCAGACGCAGCCTGGCATGGTGTGCCTGACCACAAAGAATGTCTCAGTAACTGCCAATCCATGGTTGAGTTAAGGAGATGCAAAGACAGAAGCAGTTGTGGGC